CAGTGAGATGCGATGGATCGATCGTTACAAAGTGTGGTCTTAATGTCATGGCTGTGGACTTGGGTTTCTTTTCTTATATTGAGAACAGCGTGAGTACTTATAGAGAAATTGTGAATTTTGACTTTTTAAAATTTTTATCCAGAGACCTATTTTTCCCTTTTTAACTTAAAAGGCAACAACAACAAAAGTAAATGACTTTACTGGCTCCTAACCGACTGTGTTGTCTGTGGCTCTGGGAAGCCTGCGGCTCCGTGACTGAGCTTTCCCCCCAGGCTGTCATTAGCCCCCACCCCACACCTGCCTTCAAGTGGAGTCAAAGCCGGGATGATTTAACCCATTATTTGCCAGCCACAGCCAGACTCCTGACTCTGCGGGGCTCACCGGCACCTCTAGTTTGCAGGGCAAATTGCTGTGAGAATATCCGCCGGGGCGACAGCTCATTCCCGGCTCCAGTGACTCAGCTGGGCCAGGCGTCCTTTCCTTCAGCCTGGGCCCAGCTCGCACTTTATAGCCCTGAGCTGCGATTTGGTGCCATTGCCCCAAACCAAGAAGAGAAACACAGCGCAGCCTCCCCATAGGGTTTATTATTAATGAAGCAAGGGGAAGAGACTTCCCGATGCCACATGACCGTCCAGCACTATCGTGTAGGATGACTGAGGGCATTTCCCGTTGTTCTGCGCGTGGAAGAAAAAAAAAGATCACTCAGAGCTGATTATAGCCCTACGTGCAATAACCTTTCACTGTAAAGCCACGGGCTGACTCCTCGGCCGCCCAGGCCCTTCAGCATCTTCCCCAGACGTCGCGTCCTCTCTGACTGTCAGCCTCCAGGGCCCCCCGCGGGGCTGTGAACCCTGAGCTGCTGCTGTGCTCTTCTAGCTACGGGGCGGGGTGTGCGACTGAAACCTAGTGACGTAGAAACTCCAGGTCATCTTACTTCAGTGCGCCGTGGCTTCAGTAGCAGAGCCTTCCTAGAATTTACTGACTGTTGTACTGTCTTGGGGGGGGTGAAGTCCTCCGAGCATCGCTGAGACGTTCACCTTTTCACAACCTTCGCTGTCCTGGGACGGATGAAACAGTGACATGTCTGAATCCCTTTCCCGTGGCCTGAGGAGGGGACACAGCATGTCTAATTGTTGTGGTGGCAGGTGTCTGTCACAGGAGTGAGGGTGGCTCCTGGGACAACGCACGGTGGCCCTGGAGGTCCTGTTCAGAGAACGCTGCCCAGAAGCAGAGGCCTTGCAGGCTGCCTGGCAGCAAACGCAGCGAGGGGGCGCGGCCCCGCTCAGGCCCTGTCTCTAGCGCCGAGGCGCTGCGCTTGTTTCTGTGCGGCCGGCCGGCGTCAGCTCTGTTCTTGGGCATAAACGGTGTGTTTCTGTGGTTTTGTTTTCTATCTAAGCATATAATACACATTGAACTTAATTTCTTTGACTATCAGTTTTTTCAGGGGAATTTAAAATTTTAACCTATCCGGCATCCAAAACCTCACATCCGAGTGTCTTTTACAAACTACCACACTGGGCTTGCACCCATCGGGGGGCCTGGGAGCCCCCCTGCTGCACA